TGTGGTCATAGTGACTGTTATCATAATAGTTTATACAGGTAATCATAATAGTTACTGATAAATATTATATAATATTTTATACAGTTTTAATGTTGATACCTTCAATTGGAAGGAACTCTCTCCTACTACATCTCATCATGGTCCTATGGTGAAGACTGGCTCTAGCATGATAGCAATAAAAGTGAAAGATGAGGACTATCTTGTAGTAATTGGAGGGTATGGATCATCTTCTAATAATACCCCACCACAACCTAGTGCCCAGTACAGTAAAGATGGTGATATTCAATGGTGCAATGAAATACACATGTACAGATTAAAAACTGGTCAGTATTATATGATATTAGGTTTATAAATGTAGTTTATATACAGTAATTAAATTGATGCATTTAGACTGTTTATGGCAGATAGCAGACCCACAGCTGAAACCAAGGTCAAGGGTCTGGTATCTGCCATAAAGAGCTACCACACAGTCTATACAATATAAGGTAGACTTGATTAACTTGAGCAAAGGTAGCCATAGTGTACGTGACTAGTAGTGTTCCACCATTTTATCATAATGTGTCATTTAATGGAGGGCAGTAGATATACCTTTGCCAATGGAAGGTGTCTATTTGAGCCCAGGAACCACTTGAGGGCAGTGTGTGTGTGTGTGTGTTCATATTATTTTTATTATTTTTAGGTGAATGGACTTCACCAACTGTCACTGGAGATAGACCACCTCCTATTTATAACTTCACTTTAACATCAATAACTAATACCACTGCTATATTGTTTGGTGGTTATGATGGTCATAGAATGAGTAATGATGTATATGTATTTGAATTTACTGATACATCAGTGGTGAGTGTATTATTATTATAATTATATTAATTACCTTAGGCTTAGGGTGTGTATTAATTGTGACTTGCAGGTGTACTTTAAAAAACTGGGTTCAAAGTGTATCATTTTAAAAATAATTAATATGCATGTAGTTTGTGTTGCTGTGCAACTTTAAACCCGGCCTTAATTTTCTATTTTTTTCTATTTTTGCTATGTTAATGGGCTTTAATGTGATACCTGGGAAATTTTGGAGGGAATTAAATTTGGCGAATTTGGCGTTTTGATAGCCATTTGCCAAAATAAAATCCGCCATTTTGAGGCATTATGCGCATGCTCAATGGCACGTGGCCACCAATTCGCCAAATTAAAATCAGCCAATCACCAAAATTTATCAATTCGCCAAATTTTAGTCCCTCCAAAATTTCCCGCCATATAGTATGATAATTAAATATTTTGATTATTTTAGAAATGTACAAAATTTTCTAATCCTGGAAGATCAGTACAATGGCCTAAGGAGAGAAGTCTTCATTCCAGTGTATTGATCAACTGTAGCTCAAGACCACACCTACTAGTGGTGGGTGGATTGGGTACCAGTGACTGTTGGTTGTTAAATATAAACAAAATGGAATGGAAAGAACTGGTAAGTATTATAATATAATTGTGGTGAGCATGAGTGAGTCCTACTAGTACGAGACCACTGTGATCTGTCTGTCTGTACATGTACGTCACTCCGCAATGATAATCAATTTAATACAGTACAACTGGTCAGTATAGACATGTGCATATGATAAAGAAATGAAAGATTATGCTATGAGTAGTTTTTAAGAAAGAGCTCATGAAGCTTGCCTTTGTTGTGATTTTTGTGAGTGTGATTGACAATGGAGGAGAAAGGAGGAGGAGAGAGAAATCATTCTTATTAACCAGATATATTATTTTATCATTATTTTAAATTATATAGACTAATATACCAGACAGTGTCACTGATAGATTGCGTAATTCTCTCTCAGTTTGGAATGAGACACAGACCACTCACTGGATAATTGAGTTTGGAGGAATTGGAAGTGATTATTCATCAATCAGTGATACAAGATTTATTGAAATGAGTGAGTACATGTATACATTAGTAGATACAATGTGTATTGAATATGTAATAATAATAATATTACAATAAAGAATGAGTGAGGGGTGTGGCTTTATGTACGATTGTACACGCCTACTAAAATTAATTTACTGTATAGCATTAAAAGTGTGAATTATACCAAGATTTGAATTTTGAAAGTGTGTGTTTGTGGGTGGGGCAACTTTTAACCACACCCATTCTTAATTAACTATGCGACAAATTATTATTATTATTATTATTATTATTATTATTATTATTATTAGTATCTAGTACTGGTGATTTGGTAGTACAGTCAGTACTGGACATTAATGAATATCAGAAGAGAAGAATACAAGGTATTAACACATACATGTACATGTACATGTACCAAACACGTGTTTCACTTATGTGAGGTACGCTCATGCTTGCCGGCCAATAAATAATTCTATTTCATGTATTAGCAGCTAATGAGA